AACTGCGTCCTTATTTAGTTTTTTACTTTGCTGTCTTGTGATGACAGCTATATTTTGTAATATATTTCGATTCTCTAATGTCCTTGAAGGCGATTCTTGACAAGGCATCAGCTACGTGGTTTTGTTTTCCTCTCAAGTACTCTACCACGAAATCATATTCTTTTAAGTCCAGCCTCATTCTAGTTAAATTTGACGATGGATTTTTGAGTAAAAAAATGTAAGAAAATGGTCTGTGATCACTTCGAACTAGAAATTTTGTACCATATATGTAAGGTTTAAAGCAGGGTTCAGAAAAACACTGCTGTGCACAAAAATGCAAAACACTACGCACAAATGTTGTGCGATTCTAAATAAAATTTCACACCACAAATGTGGTGTGTGAAAATTTTTGTGCACATCTTAAGTGCCACATCTTGTGTGCACAAACAAAACACACATTTCACACGAATGTGGTGGAGTGAAATAAAACTCGCACACCAATTCGGTGTTTGTGCCGAAGTTATTTCGCACAGCACATTGTGTGTGAGGCAGCCAGCTTGCTCTCGCACACAACGTGTGCAGAAAAGAAAACGAGGAGCACATTTTGTGTGCAGATTTGAAAATAAAAATGCACCTAAATGTGCGGAGACGAAATGTCTACTGCACATTTGTGTGAAATGATGATTTAAAAGCGCACAGTAATATGACAAATATCGCAGCAAAATATTACGTGAAACTGATTTGTATTAATTTTGGTCTTAATACGAAATATTTTATTGAAGAAATGATTTTGTATTTATATTTTAATTTTGAATTTATTATTAGATTTACATTTATTGCTTATATTACTTATTATTTTAAGGTTTATTTATTTTGTTTATGTTTGCATTTAATTAATATTATTTAATATTTTTGTTTTTTTTGTTATTTGGTCAATGACTGCGACCAGTCATTGACCAACGAAAAGTGCAATTTTGCATTATCAGCTTTTCTTGTTGGTCAATGCACTGAAGAAAGTGTGTAATATGTTGTCCTATAATTATGTCAGCACAGCGTAGGCAAATTTATTTATTTGTGAATTATGCATTAATATTTATTGTTAATTAATGCATAATTTAATAGCTTTTTTATAAAATAATTTTTGTATAAATATAAGAAATAATTTTAATAAAGTTCAGAAGGAAAAGAAAAAGAAACGAAATCAATTATAACTTTCTTACTTTCTCGCATCGATTAGTTTGGGTTTCAAGTGCTCAAACTAATCAACATAGAAAATACAAGTAGTTTGGGTTACAAGTGCTCAAACTACTTTACACATAAAAATTGGCTACCAAGCTAACACAGATTAAGGATCTGGGTTAGCACCAAGTAGCGTACAAATTTAAAACATGGGAATAAAGTTAATTTCACAATGTACTTGAAAACTTTGTTATATTAAATAGGTACATGAATTTAATAGAGAAAGAGTATTTGTTTCGAAATGTTATAAGTAAAGAGGATCGGTTCTACGGATCGTACTTTGAAAAAATTAAATATATCAATTTTGGACTACTTCATAAAATTTTATTTAATAGTAAGTAAATACACTAAGATTCATTAGTAAGGTTATAAAAAGCAAATTAAATATTTTTTACAACAACATAAATTAATTTTGTTATTAGATTTTACTTCATAATTTATCTTTAATTACAGCTTAAATTGAACGAAGTTATTGAAATAATTTAATAATTTAATATTGTAGTGGACCTACCTCACTTACTTCTTAGCCACTTAACATTACTCATAAATAATAATAGTAAGCAGATTTATGAATTGGTTGCACTTCATGCATACCGTACAAGAAGCATAAGCAAAGCGACATAAACAAAAGAGTTTCGTATTACCAACGAAAGTATTGCCACACGCTGTTCCAATTGCTGAACACATGTTACAATATTTTCAATAATAATATTTCCTATATTGCAAAAGACATGTGCAAGCAATATTGTCAATGCACTCTAATAATAACTTTGACGTTTGACCTAAATGAGCAAACAGTGTAGTTGCTATGCAATGCATTCTGCAAGGTCAGCAATCACTTTGATTGGCTGCGGTTATACTTTTCCAGGTTTTGTCTGGAATAAAGAGGCGGAGTCATGAGATCGCTATAATCTAGAAAAATGTATAAATACCCAAACTATTGTTCAATAAAATCAGAATATATACTTATGACTGCAGAAATGCATGCGTTGTTGAACTTATTCTCACTCCTTCTGGCCAAGTAACACTGGCCTAGGTACCAGCGGTAACAAGCCGCTTGATAACTTGTTCTTGATTGCATCAGTAGGTTTTTGATGCATGCTCGTATCAGGCAGGGATAATTACACGCACTTACAAGACAAGTATTACGTCTCATTTTACCTGACGATCCTGTCTACATCTGAACGGACTAACACATTACACTAGTTCCATTGATAAAGAAGTTCCATTACATTGTGATCCAGCCATTACATTGATTGAATATTGCCCATACTTCCATTCTTCCATTACAATATCTTAATTTCTTATTATAAAATATATAATTTTTATTACATGTTTTTTGAAATAAATTTTCATTTAATATTATTAATAACATTGCTGAAATATTTTTTTCACTTAAATTATATCTTTGCTTACTTAGGACAGTAGAAAGGGCGCTAAAATCCTGCTACCTGTTCAAGAAAATATTTTCCTAATCTTTCGCGTTTTTTTATGAATGTTAGAAACTCTACCTAAGTGAATACATATTTCTGGAGAAGAAAAATATCTATTTGTGGCCCACCCGTATTATATTTTTTAAACTGTTGCAAAATTTATTAAACAAATACACCAATACCAATACCTGCTACCTGTTCAAAAAAAATATTTTTCTAATCTTTCATATTTTTTGGTCATAAAAAAATCTTCCTAAAATATGTTTTTATTTTTTTTAAACTGGTGCAAAACTTTCCAAACAAATACTTTAAGTTCACTTACTATATTTGCATTTAAAAATGCACAAAGTAATATACAAAAAACTAATATTTTAAGTTAAAATACAAATAAGGTTAAGACAGTTATAATTTTTAGTTAACATTAATTAACAAAAATAATTATTTTAAATATTTGTTAATTTATGCAATTTTTAACATAAGTTACGATCCCAACGAACGCAAATATCAATTTTTTAAAAATTTGCAACAAAATAATATTTTCTATTTCAAACAAAATTGTGAAGTTCATGTAATTTTTTCCACCCTTGGGTGCAAGCGCAAAATCGCACAATTGTACACGTTTTTGCATCGCACAATTTGTGCACATTTGTGCACGTTTGAGCAATCGCACATTTGTGCAATCGTACAATATGAGCAGCACACTCGTGTGCAAGAGAATTTTTGTCGCACAGTGCGGCTGCGAGCATAAAATTTTCTCGCACAT